AAACGTAAACAAATCATTTCTAGCTAGAGACTCAATGATCGCTCCTCGGTCTGGGACAAACGTAAACAAATCACTTCTAGTTAGAGACTCAATGATCGCTCTTCGGTCTGGGACAAACGTAAACAAATCACTTCTAGCTAGAGACTCAATGATCGATCCTCGGTCTGTGACAAACGTAAACAAATAGAAGATTTGTGCGGAAGAATACCATGAACCTATGTAGAAAAATGTTTGAAAATCAATGGTATCGTCATTGGCTTCTCTACATGCCCATTTACGCATGAAATGGTATTGTTAAAATATTTGTTCGTAACTTTATATTCATTTGTTTTTGACAAACTATTTTCTTACGGGGATCATTTTGATGTGGATACTATTTTCGGTTCAGAACGTCACCTGGCGCGAGCAGACGTTCTTTTCAGAAAATACGTTCACAAATGGAAAATACGTTCTCAAGTTCTACTCAAGTCGTTCTCAACTCCTACTGGATTATATACATTTGTAGATGATAATCTGTTTCTCCCACGACTGCCGTTTATGTCTGGATTAATTTCTCATACTGACTCATGACCTTTGACCGGGATTGGAGCTCGTGTTTATTTTTTTGAATACAACGTTCTGATAACTGTGTGCTGAAAGCTTGTTATGATGATATGGTTGAAAATAAAGACCCCTGGATCCTTAACTTAAAACATGATCTTTCAAGAGTCGGCTTTGGATACATGTTTGTGACTGATAGCATTAATCATTCTAGTGAAGTATATAAGCAGCGTTTATGTGATAGTTTTCAACAGGATTGTCTAGAGAAAGTTCATTCTTCTTCTAAAGGAGCATCATATCAGCATTTAGTGGAAAGTATTAAATTGCAACCATATCTTCATAAGGCAATTACTTGAAATTATCTAAAACATATTTCTAAGATGCGTTTATGTGCGTATGATCTGTTCATTGAACGTGGCCGTTACAGAGATATACCTAGAGAAGAAAGAAAATGTATGTTATGTAATGAAAATGATATAGAGGATGAATTTCATTTTATAATTAAATGTAATCGCTATTCAGACCTCCGGTCTAAATACATAAAGCAATATTATTTCAAAAGGCCTAGTATGTATGAATTTGTTCAATTACTCAAAATCGAAAACACAAAAGAACTTAATAATTTAGGGAGGTATTTATCACTAGCGTTTAAACGTAGAGCAGATTTATTAAGAGGTCATCACTAGAACAAGGTCATGTTAAGATATATGTTGTATATCAGTTTATTTAATACAAATTTATAATATACCATTATATTGATAAGTCTTGTCTGGGTGAATGAGGGTGAAAAAGGTTCTGGCGTGTGTATGAATGTGAGTATGATGAATGACGAATGGTTGCTGCTGCTGTTGCTGATATGATGATAATGAGGATGATGATGATGTCATAATGTGAGGAGGAGGAGGAGGAGGAGGAGGAGGAGGAGGGGAGGAGGATGAAGATGATGAGGAGGATGTGTGCGAGTTAGTGTGAGTGTTCTTGATGATGAGGATGATGTTTTCCAAGTCAGTGTGAGTGTGTCCTTGTGAGTGTCTTTGTCTTATCTGTAATTGCCATAAGTTGTAAAACTTCAGCAAATAAAGAATTTGAACTTATTTTGTGTTGTGAGAGTAATTAGATGCCCATTTCGCCACGATTCTTTAAAGTATTATCGAGTAAAGCTCATTAGCATTATCAAGAACATTCCACTTGAGAATGAGATCACTTAAGTACGGTGGCTCTCCTTTGTTTATATATTTACCTTAGTATGCGGGTTTATGTTATTTCAGCGCCGCATGTGTCTACTGGGAAAGGTTTATATGGTAAACTGTATGACAATACTTGTTCCCCAGATGTTATTTTTGCAAACGCTATTTTTGTACATATCTGAAAAGTTAATTGCAACTGTAGGCACGCAGTCTGTTTCCTCATTTATAAGTTCTGAGGATAAGGCAAGTAGCTATGTGTTCAATGTGGTTTGTGTTACATATCGACTTCCGGTTTACAGCGAGATGTAAGATGGCTTGCTTGTGATACCCATCGACTTCAAGTTTACAGGGAGTTGCTGTGTATATCTATAGACTTCCGGTTTACATAAAGGTGTTTGCTAACCCACTTGTGATAATGACCTATCGACTTCCGGTTACTGGTACAATGTTGTGTGTACCTATGGACTACCGGTTTACAGTGAGGTGCTTGGTGTACCTATGCACTTCCGGTTTACAGTGAGTTGCCTGGTTTACATATGTACTTCCGGTTTACAGTGAGGTGTTTGATAAGTCGGGAAAGTTGTTGTATATTGTCAGCTTTAAATTGACCAGAATAGAAATAACCAAGTAAGTTGGAAATAAAACATCAAACCTTTATTCGTCCTACATTCATTGATGGACAAATTATCTTAATGGCCAACAAGATATTTTAACATACTTTGTGCAGACATAACAACAAGACTCACAGCACTGTTCCAGATACCGTGACATAAACTGTCCTTTGTGGCTTTGACATCCCCGGTACTACCAAATATATCAACTTCGACATCCCCGGTACTACCATTATATAAAATTCGACATTACCGGTACTACCAAATTTATCAAATTTGACATCCCCGGTACTACCATTATATAAACTTCGACATCCCCGGTACTACCAAATATATCAACTTTGACATCCCCGGTACTAACATTATATAAAGTTTTAAATCCCCGGTACTATCATATATAAATCTCCCGTACTGCCTAATATATCAACATCGATATCCACAATACCGCCTTATATATCAACATTAGTATCTCCGATACTGCCTAATATATCAACATCGATATCTCCGATACTGCCTAAAATAGCAACATCGATATATCCCTAATACTGTTCAATATATCGATATCGATGTATCCCGATACTGCCTAACATATCGATATCTCCCGTACTGCCTAATATATCAACATCGATATCCCGAATACTGCCCAATATATCAACATCGTTATCTCCGATACTGCTTATATTACAACATCGATTTTTCCCGATACTTTATACAAATAAACATCGATATATCACAATGCTGAATAATATATCAACATCGATATGTCACAATACTGAATAATATATCAACATCGATATATCACGATACTGAATAATATATCAACATCGATATATCACAATACTGAATAATATATCAACATCGATATGTCACAATACGGAATAATATATCAACATCGATATCCCCGGTACAGGTTACGTATCAACGTTGACATTACAAAAACTAAGGAAAACACCTGAATACTGTATAATATATCAACATCCGTTACCTGATACATTATATCATATACCAAAACTAAGGAAAACACCTGATTACTGTATAATATATCAACATCCGTTACCTGATACATTATATCCGATACCAAAACTAAGGAAAACACCTGAATACTGTATAATATATCAACATCCGTTACCTGATACATTATATCCGATACCAAAACTAAGGAAAACACCTGAATACTGTATAATATATCAACATCCGTTACCTGATACATTATATCCGATACCAAAACTAAGGAAAACACCTGAATACTGTATAATATATCAACATCCGTTACCTGATACATTATATCCGATACCAAAACTAAGGAAAACACCTGAATACTGTATAATATATCAACATCCGTTACCTGATACATTATATCCGATACCAAAACTAAGGAAAACACCTGAATACTGTATAATATATCAACATCCGTTACCTGATACATTATATCCGATACCAAAACTAAGGAAAACACCTGAATACTGTATAATATATCAACATCCGTTACCTGATACATTATATCCGATACCAAAACTAAGGAAAACACCTGAATACTGTATAATATATCAACATCCGTTACCTGATACATTATATCCGATACCAAAACTAAGGAAAACACCTGAATACTGTATAATATATCAACATCCGTTACCTGATACATTATATCCGATACCAAAACTAAGGAAAACACCTGAATACTGTATAATATATCAACATCCGTTACCTGATACATTATATCCGATACCAAAACTAAGGAAAACACCTGAATACTGTATAATATATCAACATCCGTTACCTGATACATTATATCCGATACCAAAACTAAGGAAAACACCTGAATACTGTATAATATATCAACATCCGTTACCTGATACATTATATCCGATACCAAAACTAAGGAAAACACCTGAATACTGTATAATATATCAACATCCGTTACCTAATACATTATATCCGATACCAAAACTAAGGAAAACACCTGAATACTGTATAATATATCAACATCCGTTACCTGATACATTATATCCGATCTAACAATAATCCAAGCATTAATGACAGCTTTTTTGACTTTTGTTTGTTTCTCTGAGATGGCATTCTTCTCATTCATCGTCTCTTTTCAAAACTGCCGATGAAACCGTCATTTTGGGGTTGTAAACCCAATCAGTTGCCATCTGAGATTCAAAATTCAACTCATTACTAAGTAAATACAAGATAAATTGCTTGAAATTAATACTAGCATTTCATATTTTTAATTTGTAGCTAATAAGCTTTGTTTGAATGAAAGTACGACTTTTTCCTTATATAATTACAAATGTATTCCGACACGTGGTTGGGTCGGGCACCCCAAATGAAGGGGAAATAGCGGTTCCAAAAGATATTCTTTCTTATTCTAATGGCACATATCTCTTCAAATAATAAGGTCGGCTGGTGCAGAGGTACAACCTGATCAGACCTCGCTGGGAGGGCAGATCCCCTAAATCTTAGAAAAATCAGGTTAAGTCTACTTATCACTTCGTCCGTCCTTCCGTGAATGCCTAGACCATTCAGTAGACACAGTCTTTGTCTTGTTAAAATTGGTCACAATGGTAAAGAAGTCGGAGCACCACTGTAAGACGAGTGACAGCTCTTGTAGTGGATATTATCTCGTTGTTATTCTGGTGTCTCCCCAAAAACTGGCTTCCGGTACTGCTAATTACTACTGAGAGGTTGTCAAGTTTAACGAAATGTACCGCATGTTGTGTGTAGCAATTAAGACTATGGTAACAATACTGTCTATATAACCTGGCAGAAGTTACACTCGGCCGTGTCCAATGTTCTCAAGTTCCGACAACATCGACCGATAATTGAGTCAGATTTTATTACACCGGAAGAACTTGGGGTATCATACCGCTACGTCGGTCATCATTCCATGACTCGCACTTCCGGTATTCCACAGGTTAGTCACTTTGTCCCGAGTGTCTGTCACGCCTAGCGTGCCATTCATGTTTTGGTATCTGCCACTACCACACGATACGCACGTTAACTTGGGTGCGCGCGCAGATGTACGCGTGCTGATTGTTTTCAAACTTTCCCGCCTAATGACAATGGTAGGTGGAAACCTGTGACCGTGTCTCGTTGCTGTAATCTCGCTCTCCGTGATTGTCTCTGTCTCCTGCAATATCTCCTCTCCGGGGTCAGACCCTGAAAAGAGACCTATCTATGTTAGATCTTAAGATAAATATCCACCAAACTTTTCGTTTGTTGTTTTGTGTTTTACATCCTATTAACCTCGACCCAGTGGTGAAGAGCTAGTGATTGTGGACGGTCAGACGCCTTAACCACTCTGCCACCATGGCCCCTCTTAACTTATTGCTTTCAGAAGAAATGCCAGTCCGATGCGCTGCACTAGGAAAGTCATGTGTTTATAGGATATTAAAATGATACATGTGTTTGATATAAAAGGACAGTTATTTCCGCCACCGCGGCCCTTCCACCAGAGGAACCGCGCACTGTTTTCTCACTTCCCTACTGTTTACTGGGGCGGTGTCTCCCTGGATAACTTTAAGGATGGTTAACTTTTTTATTTTCTCACTTCCCCACTGTGTACTGGGGCGGTGTCTCCCTGGATAACTGTAAGGATGGTTAACGTGTAACAAACAATTCTGAACAGTTATATGATTTCTAAAGATTTATAACAATTCTATGATTAGCAAAGATAAATCGGTATAGGTCGTCTGGCGATATATAATTCAAGATTGCAAGGAGTTTCGTAAATATTACCAGAAATGAAAAACGAACATTTTCTCAAGCTAATGTTAAGTTAGAAATAAGATGTTTTGACTCCAAGCCTGATTGTAAGTCCGTGACGCAATCAAGTTGTGACGTCACAATTGAAACAAGTGAAATCTTAACCCCATCACTGCTCCGCTAAGTTTTATTAAACGCGTGTTCATAACGTAATTTATCACATAATGTACTGTGTTATTCAGTGAATAAACCCATGTAATATGACCTATCAGCCCTGTAATTGGTTGTAAGAATTGTGACGTCACGCCTAGGACAAGTACATGTAAATGACGGCACATACTTACACACTGGAGTCAAAATGACGGCTTTTTACATTTCAAGGTTGCATTAAAAAGTTCGTTTTACACAAATAAATGCCACTAGTCTTGATTTTTGTGATTACATAGATATAGGGTCCTACACTCGTTTTCATTTCATATGAAATTTATGAAACTCGTCTCAAATTTTTCATTTTAGCTTTTTTAAATTGAAAAATTCTTACTCTCGTTTTATAAATCTCATATGAAATGAAAACTCATGTAAGATCCTATATGTATGTGATGAGCGTTATGCCACTGGTTATAAGGTTATTATGTGATAAAATCGAATAATAGTTATCAATGGGGCCTAAATATTTATAACATGAATTAGATTGCTGTCGAGTGACCGGTCGGTTTAGATGAAGTCTACAGAGACAACAGTTGTAAAAATGGTCATACTGCACAGTTATGTGGTTTGTAAATGTATGCTACATGTGATGTCTAGAAACATGTAGCATCTCTGTGATTTCTGACCACAGTTACTGAAACGTTGGTTAAGTTTAACTAGTAATAATAATATTGATTTGGTAAAAGCATGATACAGGTACAAACATCACATAGGATCACAGATTTATCACAGTATTCAGATTATCACATCAATGTTAATATCACAAATTTTGGAGCACTATAAATACAATGTATCTGCATGATGACTAAGCTTTACCAAGGATATCCCATGAAAGCTGGGTGGCAGCTTATTTCCAATGGGGTCCTCTAGTAAAGATCTTAATTACTTAGCCAACAAAAGGTCCTAAGAATTTGACAATATAAGATGATATAATTTCTCGTAATAATATATATATATATGAATAGAATAAGTTGTACTAATTGGTCAAATATGATGATGTTATATTATTTCATCAAAATAAGATGTTATATTATTTGACAGTATAAGATGGAGTTGTGTTTTACGTATCATTAGAAAATAAGATTGCCTTCTAATAATATTATATGTAGGGCTGTGCAGGATGTTATTTCCACTTGTAATATTAAAAATAACAATTACACGTATTACTGTACATATCACAATGCAAGATGATGTCATTCTTGCAGATATTTTGTAACAATATAAGATGGTGTTAGGCCATATACATTTATACTGTGTTACCTGTGTGTAGAACAGACAACAGGTGGTTGGGCCAATCCCTACCAACCTATTATCTGTCTATCAAATTATAACAATTTGGGGTATAATACATATATAAAAATGATTTATGGATGGTTTCGGATATACCCTTTATATACGGGATAACCACTTGACCTTTGGTTTTGTTCTTATCCTTGATTGGCCTTTTCTTGTTCTTCTCCTTACTTTGACACTGTTTGACACATCTATGACCAAGTGTTAACAACGCGTAGCTGAATTCAGTCATTTCGGTACATATATAACAACAACGTACATACGTTTCCAGCGTAGCCGAAATGGACATCGATTTTATGGACAACTTGTACACATTTTACACCTTTGTGTTCATACGCTTCATTGGTCATTTGTCTGATGAAGGTGACAGTGTACATACCGTACTAGTCATCGAAACGTCACATAGAAAAATGTATTGGTTGTGTAAAAAGAACTTCTCATAATCCGTACTTATCAACCTGAAGAAAATGTTTAGAGAAATATATAAATGACTTATTAATAAAATAAAGACTGAGGATGATGGTAATAAAATCTTCCGTAACATTTTTAAAAAGTACATATTGAATTTGTAGTCACTAAAAATAGGATAACTGGAACAAAATTACAGACTCATTTGAATGAGATTGGAAATTAAAACATTGCAAAGTAGTACTTAAGTTAAAATTTTGGTAATACATATATTTATTAGAAGAAGTTTAGAGTCGCCCACTAGGATAGAATAAAAATTACCTTTAAAAGATGAATTCTTGCTCAAAATCAGTTTTTGCCAAATCTTGTAAGTACTTTTTTTTTTATCTCGCTTTTGAATTTCATCTTGTGATCGACAGATTTTATTGAATGTGGCAAGTTATTCCAATCTTTGATAGCATTATAGAAAAATGATGACGATTCCACATCCTTTATATAAGGAATGTTGAAATTCAGATCACTGTTCCTGGTAAAGTGTTTTTTCTCTGTTCTAGTAAAATGTTCTTTCATATAGGATGGACATTTGTTATGTTGAATATTAAAGACATGGTTAAAACGGAGCTGTTTCACCCTGCCCCAACATCCAACAAATTAGCTTGTTCCAATTTCCGGTGGGTGACTCTTGATCTGTTGTTAAGTTTCAGAATAAATCTGACCACTTTATTCTGGGTAATTTGAAGTTTTTGTCGAAGATTTTTGGATAAGCTTTCGAACCAGCAGCTAGAAGCATAGTCAAAATGACACCAGGTTTTTTCTAGATCTAATAGTGAGGTTCACTTTTTTATGATACTTTGGACAATTTGTTCTCCAGATAAAAAGTTGTCCAATATAATACCAAGATATTTAACACACACCTGAGGCATATTCATATTACCGTAACATGAAACAGAAAATGAGCCTTCAGGTAATTTGGAAAGTTTCCTTTTGGGACCAAACAAAATATTCTCTGCTTTTCCAAGATGTAAGGATAGTTTATTATCAGTTAGCCAATCGTGACATGACTCTAAGTTTTTGAATAGAAATTTTGAAATAATGGTTAGTGAGAATTTGAAATCGTTGTCGTTAAGACACAGATCAAATGTAATCCGCAAAACCCATTAATCTCCGCTGATTAAAAAAACCTAAACGGTGAAAAGATGTCCTTTGTTTTTTTGTATTCATATTTGAAAATTTTACTGACCACTAGTTAACTGTTATGAAGCGTTGTGTAACCAGTGATTAAGTGTTACTTACAACAGTTCTTTGGTTTCCGGAAGCGGCAGATGATGTAGGTGATCCCGATAACGCATATTCCGAACCCCAGTAGCGTTCCCAGGATCATCCAGTACCTAAAACAGTTTTGACAAATAATATATACTTACACACGACCAATACGTACATATGTAATAGGAGGGGGAAAACGTACGGTCAGACTGGGGTTCGAACCCGGGACCCTCCGATCTCTAGACGGACGCTCTCCCAATTAACCTACCTGGTCGCCGAAGATCGACCCAGTCCACCTCCGCTAGCTACATCCTTCCCTCCTTTTTCTAAGTCTTCGCCCCCGAAGAAACATCTATTTACAACCCCATCTTGTCAAGCATTCACCTAGTACTTGAAACAAGGGTTGTTCACGGCACCAAATGTAGTAGGAGCGAAAAAATGTACGGCCAGACTGGGGTTCGAACCTGGGACTCTCCGAACTCTAGGGAAACGCTCTACCAATTGAGCTACCTGGTTGATGACGATCGACCCAGTCCAGTTCCATTACACATATGAATCTTATACCGACCAGTACGTATCCAACACTTATCAACAAGTTTTAAACACTGACAATGCCTATTTACCATTTACGACCAGCACGTGGTTAATGTATACTGACCGACTCGTATCAACCATTGACCAGTTGACTGACCAATGTATCTCAAACATAAAGACAGTAGCAATTGATCCCAAATATTAACATCTATATTAAGTTGATTAATTGTAAGACACTTACAAGGTCGGAGACATGGTAAGCCCAATGTTGAACATTTATCTTGGCCCACTCATTGTCACCACATTCCGAGGTAGTACCATCTACGGTATCCGAGGTAACTAGCTGCGGTGTTCGAGGTAACCGTGTCTATGGTGTCCAAGGTAACCGTGTCTATGGTGTCCGCAGTAACTAGCTCTGGTGTTCGAGATAACCGTGTCTATGGTGTCCGCAGTAACTAGCTCCGGTGTTCGGAATAACCGTGTCTATGGTGTCCGCAATAACTATTTCCGGTGTTCGAGGTAACTAGCTCCGGTGTCCGAGGTAACCGTGTCTATGGGGTCCGTAGTAACTAGTTCCGGTGTTCGAGGTAACTAGCTCCGGTGTCCGAGGTAACCGTGCCTATGGTGTCCGTAGTAACTAGTTCCGGTGTTCGAGGTAACTAGCTCTGGTGTCCGAGGTAACCGTGTCTATGGTGTCCGCAGTAACTAGTTCCGGTGTCCGTGGTAACTAGCTCTGGTGTTTGAGGTAACCGCCTCTTGTAACCGGGGTAACCGTCTCACCGTGCTAGCCTCAGTCTCGCCAATGTCTGGGTAGACGTCTGAGGTGTGTGGCATCTGTCGTCGTAATATAACAGTACACATATTATCCGAATTAACGATCACAAGTATCGGAGCCTACTCTCAAATCCTGGATTATCGAAAAACAAACACTTGCCACACACAGAAAATCCTAATTATTGAACTACACTTGTCACATGGATATGATGGACATTTTTAAATTGGAAGTATTGTTGTAAATTTGAGTCAGTTTACCAGAAGAACTGATTGATCTCGGTTGGTACCAATTTATGTCTTCTCCATATTGGAGTGGCATAAACATTTAATACAGTTGTCTTTATCTCAGGCATATGATGTTACTATAAGTAGACCCCAACAACTGGGGAGGATCGGTACACCAGCGCAAATATATCCACAGGTTCGATGTCCAGTGGTCCAGTTAGATCACCCCGTTGACCAGTTATATCATCCCGTTGACCAGTTATATCATCCCGTTGACCAGTTATATCATCCCGGTTTCAAGGTATATCACCCCGGTGTCCAGTAATATCACCCCGGTGTACAGTAATATCACCCCGGTGTCCAGTAATATCACCCCGGTGTACAGTAATATCACCCCGGTGTACAGTAATATCACCCCGGTGTCCAGTAATATCACCCCGGTGTACAGTAATATCACCCCGGTGTCCAGTAATATCACCCCGGTGTACAGTAATATCACCCGGTGTCCAGTAATATCACCCCGGTGTACAGTGATATCACCCCGGTGTCCAGTAGTATCACCCCGGTTTCAAGGTATATCACCTCGGTGTCCAGTTATATCACTCGGTGTAAATGTATAAATCACCTAGGTGTACAGGAATATCCCGGTGTCCAGTTATATAAATTATATCACCACCGTGTCCGATGTCCAGGTATATATTGAAACTATTATTGTGACCACTCTAACATTGGATGTCCAGCGTCTCAAATGGATCATGTGTGGACTGAACGAGCGATAGCCAGTGTGACACACCTTTATGTACCCGCGGTAGCAGCATCCCATAATATATATCGGACACCTCTTGGACAGTTAGCAGTCAATATTGACCGTCTGTGTAAAAGGCATGTGACGTGATAGCACGGCCGACTGAGTGTGGCCCTCCATATCAATGACAACTGCGCCAATAACTTTCTCTTGTATCCTCGCGAGTTTCAAAATCAAAATCCAAAATCAATGTCGAGGAGATTGTCCTTACATTGATTTCCTATCGCTGAATATAAGCGCGCTACTAAAACTTAATTAGATAGTAAAGCACTCATCAAGGGTGTCTGTCACGGTCTGTTGAAAGAGCGGGCAGTATGGGACAGATGGGTATGGCCAAATTATGTGTAATCCAGTATGGTACAGATGGGTATGGCCAAATTATGTGTACTCCAGTATGGTACAGATGGGTATGGCCAAATTATGTGTTATCCAGTATGGTACAAATGGGTATGGCCAAATTATATGTAATCCAGTATGGTACAGATGGGTATGGCCAAATTATGTGTAGTTCAGTATGGTACAGATGGGTATGGACAAATTATGTGTAATCCAGTATGGTGCAGATGGGTATGGCTAAATTATGTGTAAGCCAGTATGGGACTGATGGGTATGGCCAACTTATGTGTTGTCCAGTATGGTACAAACGGGGATGGTCAAATTATGCGTAATCCCGTATGGTACAGATGGGCATGGCTAAATTATGTGTAAGCCGGTATGATACTGATGGGTATGGCTCAATTATGTGTAATCCAGTATGGTACCGATGGGTATGGCCAACTTATGTGTTGTCCAGTATGGTACAAACGGGGATGGTCAAATTATGCGTAATCCCGTATGGTACAGATGGGTATGGCCAAATTATGTGTAAGCCAGTATGATACTGATGGGTATGGCCAAATTATGTGTAATCCAGTGTGGTTAATGGTGGCAGTGTGTATAATCCATGTGTGATTAATCTAGATGTGTTACCAAAGTGTGTTTAATCAAGGTGTGTATACTTAGGTGTGTGTGGTCCAGGTGCGTATACCTGCTTCACCCAATCCCAAACTCTTTCAAACCACCTCCACCCATTTACATAAAACACAGATGTGTCATACACATACCATTCTCAAACTCACATCAACCCTTACCCGTTATTGACCCAACATACTAGTCCATCCCTCCATCTCTCCAATATAAAACCATCCTCAATTGATTTCAGTAACATACCCCACCACTATGTTTTAAAATGCATGAGCTTTATAATGGGATGTATTTATATCATTCACTGTTTTTATATACGATCAATTTCAGCACACTTGCGACTTCCGTTTCTTCAACAACTGTTCTTCAATTACCTGTAGGTTGCGTGTTCCGAAATGTTATTCACACTTTCGGAATCCTCTCGTTATGTGAGCCAGTTTAATATTATTGCAAACAGTCTGTATGGTTGTAATGTTGATAAAGTACCAGTCTAGTTTCAGCTATATAAACCATGTACGTGTCTAGTTACCGTTTATATATAAACCATGTACGTGTCTAGTTACCGTTTATATATACACCATGTACCTGTCTAGTTACCGTTTATATATACAGCATGTAGTGTCTAGTTACCGTTTATATATACAGCATGTAGTGTCTAGGTACCGTTCATATATACAGCATGTAGTGTCTAATTACCGTTTATATATACAGCATGTAATGTCTAGTTACCGTTCATATATACAGCATGTAGTGTCTAGTTACCGTTCATATATACAGCATGTAGTGTCTAGTTAACGTTTATATATACAGCATGTAGTGTCTAGTTACCGTTTATATATACAGCATTTAGTGTCTAGTTACCGTTCATATATACAGCATGTAGTGTCTAATTACCGTTTATATATACAGCATGTAATGTCTAGTTACCGTTCATATATACAGCATGTAGTGTCTAGTTACCGTTCATATATACAGCATGTAGTGTCTAATTACCGTTCATATATACAGCATGTACCTGTCTAGTTACCGTTTATATATACACCATGTACCTGTCTAGTTACCGTTTATATATACACCATGTACCTGTCTAGTTACCGTTTATATATACAGCATGTAGTGTCTAGGTACCGTTCATATATACAGCATGTAGTGTCTAATTACCGTTTATATATACAGCATGTAATGTCTAGTTACCGTTTATATATACAGCATGTAGTGTCTAGGTACCGTTCATATATACAGCATGTAGTGTCTAATTACCGTTCATATATACAGCATGTACCTGTCTAGTTACCGTTTATATATACAGCATGTAGTGTCTAGTTACCGTTCATATATGCAGCATGTAGTGTCTAGTTACCGTTTATATATACAGCATGTATTGTCTAATTACCATTTATATATACACCATGTACGTGTCTAGTGACCGTTGTGTCTAGTTACCGTTTATATATACACCATGTACGTGTCTAGTTACCGTTTATATATACAGCATATACGTGTCTAGTTACCGTTTATATATACACCATGTACGTGTCTAGTGACCGTTGTGTCTAGTTACCGTTTATATATACACCATGTACGTGTCTAATTACCGTTTATATAACTCTCTCAAGAACATATTTATTTTCTTACCATCATGTGACAATTGTCAATTGTGTATTATTAATTTTGTCACAAAATGAGCAAAGAGCAAAGTTCGAATTAACTTCCAAAAATAACTCCCTCGTGGAGGGCAAGGTCGGAATTACGGTGTTCAATGTATTTGTCCATGCGCGAAATTTGTTCCGGGGAAAAATCGAAACAATATTAAATATTACTTTCAGCTCAGAGTTCTATTGATAAACTTAAATCACCCTATAAACATATCATACCCAATTGTATTGATACTGAATTGTGGAATAAAATTGAAGTGTTTGGTAAAATTTCAAAATACTACTTTGTTTGCCAATTAGCACGCGACAATACGATGTTCAAACTATTGAACGAAATTGTGTGGACTGTCGATAAGGCGGGCATTTTTAATTTTAAATATAAATTATAAGTTAAAAAAGAACATAAGAGGCAGAGAAAACGTAAATATAAGTATTGAACTGTTTTGTATGGTGTTTATGATCTATTTGAATGACACAGCTTTGCCTAGGACCAAACTACTTTATGTACATGTTCCATATTGGTTTACGTTTTGGAAATATTTTCAATTGTCGTTTATACAAATTAAACGGCCCATTTCAATTCAATCATGTGTTTGGTTATTTATGTTCAGTTTGGTCCAACAAGCTCGCCCTGTCTGAAGTCATGTATAATAAACAATTAAAATACAATTTTAATGAATTTTATACATGCGGTTATTGATTGATTTACTTGATGTTATGTGTTCAGTATATAAATAGTCCCTACGCAATGTACACCGTGTACGTTATATATATACACTATGTACCTGACTAGTTACCGTTATATATATACACTATGTACCTGACTAGTTACCGTTATATATATACACTATGTACCTGACTAGTTACCGTTATATATATACACTATGTACCTAACTAGTTACCGTTACATATATACACTATGTACCTAACTAGTTACCGTTATATATATACACTATGTACCTGACTAGTTACCGTTATATATATACACTATGTACCTGACTAGTTACCGTTATATATATACACTATGTACCTGACTAGTTACCGTTATATATATATACACTATGTACCTGACTAGTTACCGTTATATATATACACTATGTACCTGACTAGTTACCGTTATATATATACACTATGTACCTGACTAGTTACCGTTATATATATACACTATGTACCTGACTAGTTACCGTTATATATATACACTATGTACCTGACTAGTTACCGTTATATATATACACTATGTACCTGACTAGTTACCGTTATATATATACACTATGTACCTGACTAGTTACCGTTATATATATACACTATGTACCTGACTAGTTACCGTTATATATATACACTATGTACCTGACTAGTTACCGTTATATATATACACTATGTACCTGACTAGTTACCGTTATATATATACACTATGTACCTGACTAGTTACCGTTATATATATACACTATGTACCTGACTAGTTACCGTTATATATATACACTATGTACCTGACTAGTTACCGTTATATATATACACTATGTACCTGACTAGTTACCGTTATATATATACACTATGTACCTGACTAGTTACCGTTATATATATACACTATGTACCTGACTAGTTACCGTTATATATATACACTATGTACCTGACTAGTTACCGTTATATATATACACTATGTACCTGACTAGTTACCGTTATATATATACACTATGTACCTGACTAGTTACCGTTATATATATACACTATGTACCTGACTAGTTACCGTTATATATATACACTATGTACCTGACTAGTTACCGTTATATATATACACTATGTACCTGACTAGTTACCGTTATATATATACACTATGTACCTGACTAGTTACCGTTATATATATACACTATGTACCTGACTAGTTACCGTTATATATATACACTATGTACCT